TTTCTTCTCTGGAAACGTGGATCCAAATATAGCTAAACTCGCAAATATTCCTGATCGTTCATGGAAGGCCCTTAACAAGCAATTTTCATTTACAAACATGGCCTGGTAGACAGATGCATTCTTTGATTTTAATAGACAAATCCCCCCTATGAAACTTCACAGCGGAAGTGAACCGAATTTTGTCGAAAGTAATAGAGCACTTTTATTACACGGCATACTTCTTAATAAGAGACCAAGAAGGAAATACATTTAATTAAAGTTATTTGTTATGGAATATCTGTTTCACAAATGACGATATATGATATGTTCCAAGTGTCTTAACCACAATTCCGTCCTCTTTCCATTGAAAGTGACATCACCGGATGAATCTTATCTCTCACCAAATGTGTAATTGCATAAGCAACACGAAGGGTGCCACATGTTGAGCCAGATCTGTGTACCCTTCCAGAGTCCTTGAGATTACCCCTTTTTTTGGAACATTGGTTCACATCAAGTTCATTGTCTTTCAATTTTTGCCATGGTGTTATCATTTTTACTCCCGTGACTAATGAGTTTTGATATTTCTCTGGTATCTTCCGCCTCTCTTAAGCCGAGATAATAATTTGCCATCAAACAATGGTTCTAACCGCTTGAGTGGTCACGTGTGATGTGCTCGCATTAATTGCAAGACTGGGGTCGCCGTTTCGATACCTGGCCATGCCGTAGTCAAACCATAAATTCTTATTTTCTGTTTCTCCACTATATGCGGTATTAAGGAGGAAGAGCAAATACTTGTCTGCTCAGAGTCGGAATAATGTCCTGGCACGGTGAAATTTCGTCTTGCGGACTGTTTCCTGGTTCATTAAAAAGTAACACGTAATCCGACTCATCATGTCTATCTTGTACAAATCAGGGTTCATATTTAAAACACTCTAATGTGTTCTCGTTCCGATATACATGTAATATGTGTCACTGGACGTTAAACACTAATTCATCACAATCATTCAAATACTTCTTATAAACAATCCATTCTAAGTCTTTAAATGCAAAAGGAGAGAATATTTATATTTCATTTCTTTATGATATATTAGATTAATTTGGATTTAATTTCGTTATATTTCTTTTCGTTTGTTTTTTTTTTCGTTGATTTCGTTTTTTTTTATTTCGTATCGTATCGTTTCTTTTCTTTTTGTTTTGTTTCGTTTCGCACTTTATGGGCACCCAAAAAAATCTAGACTTTTTCATACTATGGGACTGACATCTCCGTACAGTCGTCTTAGGTGAATATTTCTATATCCACCACAACTAGGATAAACAATGAACTATACCTATTTGTTTGTCCAGACGTATAATATAATGAATCAAATATATATCTAAATAAGGTTTTATCATCTTTAAAAGCAGCGATATATGAAAACTTGGTTTCTGAACTTTTGAATGTTGTCTTGAAGCATTAACAGGTGACAAACTTGCCGTATGATTTTCTCATTGTTGAAGGCCGTACGGCGACCTATGCATTTGTAGTGTTGACTTCTACGTTATTTGGTCTCGGGTGGAGAGTTGTCTCATTGGCAATCATACCACGTCTTATTTTCATATTATCTGCTTTAATTGTAGGCTGCCACCTTGAAGCAGTGACAGATCCGTCGTATTATATCATACATATTGATGGTTATGCTATCCTTAGAAAGTGTAAAACTGGTTACACGTATTCTCCTTTATACTGTGATTGTATAAAGCCAAAACTAACAAGAATACCGAGAGTGGCAGTGTTTGTAATTACAAAAAGGTTATTAGGTAAGGCTTATAGTCTAACATTTTGAAGGCTAATCACAGAAAATATTTATACATATAACAGTGAAAAAATCTACATGCAGATATATGGAAACTATATGAATTGTTTAGTTACCTATAGAATTCTTATGAATAATAGATCTGTATGGGGTGTATTTCAATAGATCTGTATGGGGTGCATTTCAATAGATCTGTATGGGGTGTATTTCAATAGATCTGTATGGGGTGTATTTCAATGAGAAAATAACCAAACGACAAACAAACAAAAAATCAAACGACAACAGTTCAACTTACGGTCGTCAACAAAGAAATATAGTTTATACAATATACTAAGCTCCATAAATTGCCACAAAAACGAAGACTTACAAGGATATCACCAACATATTTCTTCAAAGACAAAAAACGGTAAGATACATTGAACTCAAAACACTTATCCCCGATGAGACTCTTGAATTGGGACGTGATCATGAGGTATGATAAAATTAGTTTTGAGAATTTTTTTTTAATATCTTTTAGTATAATACTAGTATCAGAGGTTGTTAAAATAATGTCAAATTCAATACACGTATACTTTGTTATATTTGTAAGTGACTATTACAATAGTTCACTGAATCTTTTTTTCCTTTCTATATTTACAACACACATTTCTTTGTTACAAGATACCTTAGTAAATCATGCACGTATGCAATACCTTTGTTTTTGTCCAACTTTCTTTTTCGTGTCTTATGAGAATGTTCAAGGTATATCTTTTAATGTTTAGTTTGTTTTATACAAGAAGCATATGTTACTACATAAAACATTAAAAGGCGAAATTGTCATGATTCTGTACTAACTTATATTGTATGTAGATAAATATTTACATTTTTTGGCGAGAAACCGATTTCCTGAATGAAACGATTGATATGTAACGATTTTAAATGTATGACATTACTTCTGACAATGTGTAGGATGAGATTTCTCTAAAATGAGTTTCTGACTGGTCATAAAGGGTTAAGCTATACAATGCCTTCCAACACCAAGGGTTCTCTGCTTCATGCACGTTCTTTTCACATGAATATTCATAACACTTCAAAATGAAAACAAAACTTTATAGATTTGGTCGTAAGAAGCGTTTTTCTGAATTTTCCTCAGCTGGAACGCTCAAACTCAAAAGACAGGAAACTAAGGATGTATCATATACTTGAGTACTTGAGGAGCTATATACCAAAAAGGGACCAATTCCTCCTAAAGTTAACTCTGCCAGAGGGAGTTGGAACCTAGGTTTCGTAATATTTTCTTAATTTATCAAGTTCTACTTTCCTTCCAAAATCACAACGAAAGAGTTGAGGAAATTGACGTCAATGTCCCAGTCGACATCACAGTCAAAGTATTATCCATAGAATGTTTGTAGATTAGCATCATGAACTTATAAGAAATCAGTTATGTACAACGAAGAACCTTATACAAAACTATTCCAAATTCATTAAAAGTAAACAATGTTTTTGCAAAGACGTGCTCATTATACACTATTTATTGTGTTTGGATTCACATCTCTGCCATGCTACAACAGTAATCACAATTTTCATTTTTTTCTGAAAAGTTCTTTAGCTTGCTTGCAGTTAATGGAATACAAACTTTCGTATAAATTTCGAATGTTTGAAGCGTTTTTTTCTGCATTTCTGGATCACGAAAACTTGAACCTAAACATTTGAAAGTCAGGGATGCGTAAATACGTAGAATAGATAGGAGCTATATGGCCTAAACAGAATCCAAATTCATCTCAGGTCAACTTTGAATGAGGGTGTTGAAACCTTAGTTTTAAAGTTCTAAATGTATCAACGAGCAATTTTGAATAAGTTGTCAGTACCGAAGCACTTACGACTGAGTTGATATCCTTGGGGAATAATATTCCACCATTGGCGGTATTAACAAAGTGCTAGTAAATCAAATAAGCACATTTTTTTAAATTTCGTTCGTCCGAAATAATCGAAAGTTTTGATAATGCGATCACAATCAAGTCGCATTAGTGAAAACATTGCATTATATACTTTAATAATTTAAAGCAGATTGTCATCTTGCTCTTTGATTTACTCTCAAATAGATATAAGAAGATGTGGTATGAGTGCCAATGAGACAACTGTCCATCCAAGTCACAATTTATAAAAGTAAACCATTATAGGGCCCAAAAAATTACTAGTGTAAAACCATTCAAACGGGAAAACCAACGGTCTAATCTATATAAAAAACGAGAAACGATAAACACTTATGAACCACATCAACAAACGACAACTACTGAACATCAGATTCCTGACTTAGGACAGGTGCAAACAATTGCAGCGGGTTTAAACGTTTTAATGGTACCAAACCTTCACCCTTATCTGAAACAATAGTGTAACATCACAACATAGAAAGACACACTATGAAATATAAATTGAAATGGCTTAACTCAATCAAAAGACATATTAACACAAGTGAACATACACTGAACGAATAATTTTGATCTATGATACAATGTAAATACAAAATCAATAAAATAAGGGATGAATAATTAAAGTAACAGTATTATACCGCTGTGAAATGTTAAACAATTTCAGAAAAACAACAATAACCTTAAACAAAAATCCGCCATTTACAATAATATTATACACAGGTAAATGAAAATAATTTTGTTGTTAAGTATACAGTTTAAAAGGAGAAAGGAAATATTTTTACAAAATAAATAATTTTGATGTTCATAGTTCGAAAAAGTGAAAATTTATAGTAATACCAAACACTTATCAAAGCTGGTATATATACTAGATATAACCCTGAACAAGTAAACATTAAATAACCAAAAGCATTACAAATAGTATCAACATGTCAAATTAAAGAAAGTACGATTTGAGAGTACTCGTAGTTACTGACAGCTAGTTAAAAGCCAAAAACAATTCATGCATCAAGTACATTAAAATTATTTGAAAGGAAATTCACGTTTACATTTAAGTTCATTTGTATTGAGAACGAATTCCATTTTATATAGGTATTATATAGCATACAGAACAATCAGAAATAATATTTTGCCACGCTATTATTGTTCTATGTCGAATACCCTGTTTGTAGAAAATTCATTCTAGATCGCTTAGAATTAAGCTCTGTAACCATTTGAAGAATTCACGGAAAGCTAGGTCTGTTATTAATGGTTAGTTATGTTATTATTGTATTGTTCTCTGCTATCAGTCTTTTGTCACATTGTGTATATTATCCATAGCATGTCATGTATGCTCTTGCAAATAAATATTTATTCATTTATTCATTATTTTGTAGAACAGAACGATAAAATAGTAAGCTGTCGTCCTTATTTCCAGTTCTTATTTGACAGAACAACACAATCCGAGGACGGAAGTGTTCCATCGTTACCAACAAGAACAATAAAATTCAATCCAGTGACCGGGAGTACTGGTAAAACGGCTGTGACGTTTTATGGTGACGGAATTATTACAATATGGGGCATGAGTTACATTACATTTGCATCAAAATTTAAGTTCATGGTCCGGTTTAAAACAATGGAAGATTTCACTTATGAAGATAAAAACTACAATCTGTTTGGAGACGGTCCTTGCAGTAACCGTGCTCCCTATTATGGCGTTACAATAAATCCTGTTCAGAAATCCATTGCTGGTAATTTTCTTCTCCAGAACAATTCACCACTAAATCTGCAAATAGATAATGTTGTAAGTAGACAATGTACTTGTGACAGCAAAACAATCAATGAAATGGGAATCAAAATTAGGTAGAATCAAGTACATATAACTTTAATTACGCACAAGTACTTGTTGAAGAGCGTTTTGTATAAATTACGGAGGAGGCTTACATCTTAGATTTCGCCTTCCATTGATCATTGTAATTTGACGATTTTTCGCTGGTTTATTTTAAAAGCAACCAACAGGCATGCTTGTTTGTACACTAATCATTCAATTACATACTCAAGTTTTAATATTTTCAGGATTTCAGCGATTGGATCGTACTTTTCATAGTTGGAATGGAGGGTGAGATAAGAATATTCACCGAGACTGGTCGAGATCATGGTTATATGGGAAGTAAGCCTTTTATTATATTTTTTATTGTAGTTTGACTTTGAAAGTAATATGCTATAGTATCAGTAAATTGTTTTAAAAACAAGAGGCGGAAGATACCAAGGAGAAATTCAAAACTCATAATACAAAGAAAAACAGACAACGCCATGGCATAAAACGAAATACGACGATTCGTCGAAGGTCTACAAAACGTAAAATAGAGAACAAAAGACTGAGCAACATGAACCCCGACAAAAACCAGGTGTTACAATATGGCAAAACCCCATCCAAGATAAAAGGCTTATAATTTGGTACGCCCAACGTGCATGGTAAGCAGGTCCTACTCTACATGTGGCACTCGTTGTGTGCATTTTAACTATTTAGGCTGATGATGACAAATTGTCAGTTAAAACGAACTCAGAAGTCTTTATTTTTATCAATTTAATAGTTGATCAGACTTTGTAACTCAAATATTAATTTATTGTAATGATGAAATGACGGTTAATGAAAACCTAGCAATGTTTGACATCAGTTTTGATTATCTTGTAATAAGTGTATGGTTCTCATAGTATGTGTATTGTGTGCATCTGTGCGCGCATGTATGTGTCACTCACTATTGTGCTGTTTCGTTAAATATATTCTTTGACTTGTTTATATGTCTTGTATTATGTCTAGGAGAACCACTAGTAGCTATTGGGCTGTTGACAATTCTCGTATAAATTAAAAAAAACACAATAAAAATATATAATTATGTTTCTTTCTTTGAGGTATATATCTCAACCTTAGAAACGTTTGACATATTACCCATTATACTGAATACATCGTAATATATTGAAAAATTTGCACTTACATAGTTATAAATATCATTGTTATTTTCATGCCCTGCGTTAAAAGTTTGCATTTAGATCTCTATTTGGAGCTATTTAAACCAATTCAAACCTATTCAAGGGTATAACTCACAATTGCAGAAATAGTGAATGGTAATTGCAACAATCTGAAAATCAAAGAATCTAATTTGTAACTCGATTCGCTTTGTAGTAGAACTTTTTATGACTTGGCATTATAACTACCTTCCATGAAATGCAAAACAAAGTTGATTTTTTTTATCATGGTTCATTTTAACGTTTAGAGTTACGTCCCTTGACGTCTAAAACTGTAAAATTCTGTTTTGAATGATTTAACTTATTTGCAATAGCTATACAGAGCCTTAAAATATGGACCAACATGTGCAGTTTGAGTAAAGCATTTATAGCGTTTCAATAACAAAAAGTATTCCAGATTATATTAGGTTTAACTTCCTTTTGTTATTAGAGTGAAGTCTTTACTGATCAGTAAGATTATTCTTCATTTTGCAAATGTTATCCTGGATTCGAGGTACACACTTTTCAACTACAATACTTGATTTAATCATTTTGATGTCAATGTTCAGGAACTGTTGACCGGGTCGTTTTTTAATTTCTTAATTAAGTTCATTGTCATTTCCGAGTAATTAAAAAATATTTTTTAGTGATAATTCCAATCATTTGTATAAATCTTTTTATTTCAGTATCAACTATTAAATCTTCCTCATGTGCCATGGAGATAGGGAAGGATTCTAAGTATGCATCAGGCTTTGTTGGATACGTAGATTCAGTATGTATTTAATCTACATTTGTATAGAAATAGGGATATGCGATATAAATTCCTATATGAGAAAAGTTTTAAACAATTGAATTTCAAACTTCCCCCGGATATGTTTAGAATTTAAGTTCAAATTGCTCTATTGTCTAAAAAATAATACCAGGTGAAAGGTTTACATTACAGTATTCATTACACTATTTTATCATTTGCCAAGGTTTCTTGGTTCATCCAGCACTATATAAAATGCAACAATAGTTAAACGATGTTCACATCACGTAAATCGAGTTGGCATATACAACCCTAGTGAAAATAACTGCCTAAATTGCATGAACTAAAAAAGGAACGAGACCCGGTGCGTCATCAACAATAATTTTATTTCCTGTGTTTTGGAAAAAAAAACTAAATGGGTAGATTAATATGCATTTCATTTGACATGTTTGCTTGTCAGTATTAGGTGATTGTTGGTTTTGGACCTTTTTTGGAATACATTCGATGATAACAATACATGCTACTTGAATCCTACAGACAAAATAAATATATTAACATATGGTTGATATTTTTTTTTCAGATAGAATTTTTCAACTGTTTTGAGAAATAGTTTGATGCTATAGAAGAAAACCTTGTGATCTGTGATATAAATTGTAAATATCTTTTTTATTTATTGGTTAAAATGGTTATAATTGACTCCGAGACGTGTTTTTCAAGACGGCGAATCCAAGCCATGTCCAGAAACAAATTATTGTCTCTGTCTACCGGACGTAAAACGTGAAGTGTTATTACCATGGACCAGGCCCATTTGAAGCGACAACCACAATAAAAACAATATTATGCAGACGGAAATCGTACTCACTGTAGTGAAACCAATGCTGACACTTTGTCACTCCTGTGCAGGAGAGCTTGCCACATAAGACACAAAAGTTTTTGTAAAGGATTGTCACATACATTGGTTGTGCACTGAATAGGTTCATGCAATATTGTTATATACAATAATTTTACCAAAAGACATCTGTATATATCTCCACTTTTGACAGTAGTTGGTGTCTTTATAAAGCAATCTTTATAGTTTCGAAAATGAGGTCCATGTCCATCAAAAGTTACATTATCATAACTATGTTTTTGTTTTATATTTATACTTGTAATTATTGACTATTGTGTTAATAGTATTCTATATTTTGTGTTTTTGCTTGACCCTTATGGATGTAATCTGTAAATACAAACGTACAATTTAAGAATACCAAACGCGCGTCTGGCGTACGGAACTTTGGTCTTGGCATCTATGACGAGTTATTACTATACTACACCTTTTTTGTTGGCGTCTTTATTAAATTACTTTGTATGTCTGTTTGCATTTTATTTTTTAGTCAGATGTGTTGTATGTCTGTGATGTATGTTTACACAGTTTTGACTGCGGATTCCAATTATTGTCACATTAACCTATCATGTCTGTTTGGGTTGCCTACCCAATTTTGTCAATATAACGGAACTAAAACCAACTGTCATACTAGTGAGTGGTTAAGCTAGCTATAATACAGGTTTATCCCACCATTTTCTTCGGAAATGTCTGTACCAAGTCAGAAATACGACGGTTGTTTTTCACTTGTTCCGTTGATTGATAGCGTTTGATTTTGTCAGTTTTTTTGGACTTCCCCTTTTTGAATTTGACTTGGAGTACAGTATTTTTTTATACTTTTTTACAAAGTTGAAAATATACCGTTACTCCGCTGTACTAGACCTTCTATGAACGTGTTTATTTTCATTTTGATAGGCCTCTGAAATGCAAAACCATCTGAACCCTGTTAAGTAAAAATGGATTGAGATCACATACCCAGCATGAAAGAGAGCAATTACTAAATACAGTACATCAAATATGTAGCAACTGTTCGGAAAGGGGAAATTTGTAATATAAGAACAATGTATGTTGTCAAAAAAGTGCGTTACTTGAAACCATATCAGAAAGGTCAACTAGGAAAACATAGTTTATGTCTACATTTTATTGGGAAATGGTAAATAGGGTCCATTGCACTTATTGTAGAAAACTGTTGTCGACATAGAAATTGTAATACAAGTTCCAATCGAACTTGGAAAAGGGATATACCAGATACAGTTAAGTCTACCTCGTATCTTGACTTACATCTGCAAATTGACAATGAGGGTCGGTTGAAAACAAAACTTTAAGAAAAAACAGATGATTTCATCTTCCCAATTGTGAAATTTCCATTTCTATGTAGAAACATTCCGGCATATGAAGTATATATTTCTCAGCTGATACAATATTCCAGAGATTACATTTCCTGTCATGATTTCCTTGATAGAGGGTTGCTGCTAACAAGGAAGCTATTGAAGCAAGAGTTCCGAGTAGTGAAGTTGAAATCATCCCTTCGACAATTTTACGCACGCCATCCTGAGTTGGTTGACAGTTATGGAATATCTGTTTCACAGATGACGATGGGTATGTTCCAATTGTCGTAACCACAATCCCTCCGGGTTTGTACTTACATAAGCAACACGACGGGTGTCTGGCGTACAAAGTTATAAACCTGATATCATTAATGAGTTTGTTTTCTTTATACCGGCATCACACATCAGCGTATAGCACCGACGTACGCCGGGCGTTGTCAAAAACCATTTACGCTGCCAATACGTTAGTAATTTTTGACGCATTCAACTCGTCAATCATATCTGTGTCGTGTGCACAACGAGCTTTCAGCGTGTTTAAGGCGTACGAGAAGCGTACATAAGCGTTTGTCGGGCGTTGAGGTAACGTATGTTGGCGTATGTCTGGCGTTTGTCTAACGTAGATGAAATGCACGCCACGAAGGAAAAACGTCCCTTGAACGTATTTGAGACGCGTCCCGGTCGTACCTAGGACGATTATCCGTGCTTTCGGTGTGTCTGGGGCGTGTTATTATGGGGTGTTTGTACTACTTCCGTTTAATGCAATTCTAGTTGATTTATTTGATGAATTCTTCCATTCTTACTTGGTAGCATTTATTATTATTAAATGTAGATGTACAAACTTCAGTGTATTTTGGTTATTTTTGGAATAATGTGACTTTGATTTTGCCCAACGGTGGGACCATATACACACAGCCATCAATCGCACAAAATCATATTCTATTCTTGCATTTTTTAAGGAAGATTTTTTTTAAATGGTACCTCCTGCTCATATCCAGCAGTCGTCATCGGAATGTGTTTGCATATATATGGATTTGCATAATTTTACACGACTGGTAGCTCTGTGTAGCAATATGAGGTTGGATGGCCTTTTGATTATGGACTTTCCGCTTAATCGATTTTGGAGTGTTGTCGTAATCCTTACATATATCATGGATTGGATTCTCAGTTTGATTTTTGTCTCGCGAGACATATGTATAGCTTTACCGATGCGAAGGCGGCGGCGGCGTGAACAAGTTGGTGAAAGCTTTATAACTCAGAAGGAAGAAGACACTCCATATTTCATCCATAGATGCCTTATGTTACAAGCTTTCTGTCCGTCACATGTCAGATATCCTTGACCTCATTTTCATAGTTGTATGACTTTGTTTATTCTGCGACCAGTTTTCGTGATTAGGTCAGTTTCTCAGTACATAGAATACCTAGAGTTATGATAATTGGTCTATAGACTCCTCAATAGGTGCACATGTCAGACTGACATATGTCACTAAACCTTGACCTTGTTTTAATGCTCCAATGATCAATTTAGACTTTTATATTCCGACATGCCAGTAAGCAGGCGAGACATTTTAGCTTATCCACTTTGTGTAGAATTTGCACTGCATACTTTCTTCTTTCACCATATATCGCAATATTCATGAGCATGCAGTCATAATGTTCCTGTTTACATGGGTGAATTTATAAGCATGAAAGAATGTTTTCAATTATAACCAAGACAAGTGAGTGTAAACATAACTTCTTAAACCATTTTACAGATGTGATCAATTTATTTTTCAATTATTTTTCAAGTCTCATATCATTCTGTCCTGCCAGGCAGCTGATCCAGTAGGAGAGTTTATCCAGTGCTTGATAAGGTTCTTCTGCATTTTCCCTTTCTTACTGTCAATATTAGCTGCTGTAACATTCTGGGTATCATGTAGATTCGGTCCCTGCCTCCAAGCTCCAGGAATCAAATTCCCGTTGATGGGGTGTTCTCAATCTAGTTGTTGGTCCTGAAGCCCAGAATAGCAAATTCTCATCAGATTGTGTAGAATAATGCATGTCTTCACTATCAGACGAACTGTTGATTTGGAATGACCCATTGTTGAGAGCAGAATTCTGAATTTGTTGACCAAATTACCAAACGCGTTCTCCACAACACGCCTTGCTCGCGAAAGCCTATAACTGAATATACAATCTTCTCTGTACATTGTCCTATGAGAGTAAGTTTTCATCATTGTCGTTCTTAGCGCAAATGCGTCATCTCTAATGAAATAGTAGGGACGTCTTCGGTATGATTTGGAAGAGGCTCGGCATTTGGGAAGCATATGCTTCCATCTTCCGCTGCTTCTCTTAATTCGGACTCATCATACATCTGAGCATCAAAACAGGCAACGTTTCCTAAAATGTAGGGATAATATGAAATTATCGCAAAAAGTTTCATATAGGAAGAAATATGAAATCTCATGATGACTATTTACAAATGTATACGATGTATATGTTAATTCTTGAGTGACTTACATGTATGCGAAAATAAATGTCATCAAAGATTCGAGGTTAACTAATTTTACAATGAATGACACGTGTTTCGACTCTCGAGTTTTCGTCAGATTCGTTCTCAATAGATATATACACGAGGATCTGTTGCTTCGTTTGTGCTGCTCTATAATTTCCCTTTGTTTTATGGATTGGACGCTTTGCTAATTTACGCAGTTGTTATATTAGATTCTGAAACAGGTTTACAAGCAATAAAATTTGTAAGATTTTTCTAACGTTTTAAAACTTTTACATAAAAATATATAAATATCTTACCTCTAACATCTTCCCATATAAACCTGTAATCACCATCAACCAAAGCTAGCATCCCTTATAGTTGTGGTATAATGAATCTGAACGATCCGGTTTCTTTATGGCATTATTTTTCCATCCAACGCTCCACAGCAATGTAGAAAATGATATCTGCGCATAAATTGATCATTAATTGCTTTCCATTCCTCTTAATCATTTGGAGGAATCATGACCTCATCTGTATATTCATCAATAATTGCACTGCATACTTCCCTGACAACTACAGACAAGGTGTTACCATGAACTCTCCAGGATAATTTCATATCGGCATATGTCGATACAGCAGCAAGATGTCGAATAATTGCGGCTAGTTTTAATCCAGGCTCTATCGGTTCTCTTTGAATATACAAAACGGGAACAGTTTAACTTAAAATTATAATTGTTTACTTTCAATGTGTAATACCATTTTATTTTTTTTTACTTTTCTAGATTCAATATTGTGTACTTGGTCACTTATATTTAATTACAGCTTGCAATTGCTTATTGATAATTGAAGGACGTGACTCGATTATCAGAAAGTCGGACGCTACTATTGCATACTGATTATTTTACTGTATTCATAATGACAGAAAATGGAAAGTTGCTGGATCCTCTGAAGAATTTCATAGTACATCTCTACGGGCATTTTCATAAAATTCTTGAAACTGCTCTGATCTTCTTGTCTAAGTTCAACTAATAGTTGGTCATACAATTCGAACTGCTTTCTCCTTGATACCCACGGCTGCTGCCATAGACGTCTTCGCTGCCGTCTTCGATGCCTTCTAATGCCTTGTAAGTATTGGTGCATGTTTAGGTGAATTTGGTCTACATGTTGTAGAGCCATGGCTAGAAGATATGCCATCCTGACTCTCTCCAGGCAATCTATTATAGCAAGTGTCAAACTGAACACTACCGAACCTTTTATACCATTTTCTACATGCACCTGGATATGCAAATTAGTTAGTATAACGGACTATAAATGTCAGAGCAAGTTTCGTTGAATGTCAGAATACGTTTTTGATACGCCACGGGTGCGTTTTATACGTTCACGGAGCCCCGCATACGTCCAAGTAAAAGTCGAACGATCTTGAGGCGTATACAACTTGCCCTAAACGTGTCTCAAACTTAACTGTAGCGTTTGTTCAACGCGCTTGTAACGTATGTATTACGTGCATGTAGCGAACAGGTATACGCTTGACAAACGCTAGAGCTAGATGTAAATTTTTATGCTGCATAAAAATTTCCTGGAGATGTAGCGTTCACCAAGCGTATACCTTTGCATTTCGACGTACTCCAAACTTATGCAACGCGCGTCTAACGATTGCTTAGCGTTCCTCTTGCGTGAACCTAACGTATATGGAT